TTCAGGAAATATTTTAGTTCAATAGTAGTTTTAATTTATTAAATCCAACAGTATGGGAATGAGGATTTTCAAAGTTATGTAAAAGAAGTTGAAGAAGCCAATGAACTTGAATTACAAGCCAACTTGGAAAACCAAAAGGCAGAAGAAATTGAAGATATTCAAAAAAAAGCGAGCGAAATGTGTTCGGCACCCCTGTTTTAATAAAACTCGCGATGCTGTTGGTGTTGTCATGGAAAAAATAATGATAATAAATCACGATGGCTCTCATAGGGGGGGTTGCAACCCCCAAAACCCACCCCTAGATCCGCCACTGCGACGAGGTGACGATCCAGCTAATGAAAGTCTCCAAGGTAGCTTCCAAGCTCTACTGTATTTTCAAGTTGAGAGTGGTGATAAGGTTTTACAAGAACACCTCCAAACTTCATCGCGTAATGCGACCTACACTTCAAAGACCATCCAGAACGAAATGATTACAGTTGTTGGCAAATATATTCTGGATAAACTATCACGAGAAATTAGAGAGAGCAATTATTTTTCTATAATTGCAGATGAGGCTGCTGATGTTTCTACTAAAGAAAATCTATCAGTTGTCATCAGATTTGTCGGCAAAAATCAAGCCATTCGTGAAGAATTTGTAGGCTTTCATCTTTGTGAAGAAGGCACAACCGGAAGAGCCATAAAAGACCTTATAATCAATGCCGTAACTAATCTAGGACTCTCTATGGATGACTGCGTGAACTGTGTTATGATGGTTCAGGGAACATGGCTGGTCGATTAAATGGAGCTTCTTCCTTGATAACTAGAGAGCATGAAAAGGCTATTTATGTCCATTGTATGATTTATCGATTAAATCTTTGTATTGCCGATAGCTGTTCCTTGCAATTAGTAAGAGACATAATGACAACTGTAAGGAAGCTATCAGAATTTTTTAACAACTCCCCAAAGCGTCAGCAACATTTGATTGCCAAAATAAAGGAACTGTTGCCTGACAACAACCATCGTGTACTAATCGATGTATGTAGAACCAGATGGGTAGCAAGAATTGATGGTATGGACAGAATTGTTGAAATGCTGCTGCCTGTAGCCTCTGCACTAGAGTATATTGCTCTGAACAGAGATGCAGATGGAGACAGGGGGTATGGCGACTGGAACATAGACAGCAGAAATGATGCTCAATCATTATTAAATACTATTTCCTTTACGTTTATTGTTGCCATTGTCATTGTCAGACGTATTCTTGATTTAACAAGACCATTGACTTTAAAACTGCAAAAAAAGGAAATCGACCTGGTCAAAGCAAAGGAGGAAATATCTCTACTGAAGAGTGCTTTACAGGAGATGCAAAGAGATATCGATGCAAGAAATCATAACCTGTATGAAGAAGCTGTTGCTCTTGCAGCAAGCATTGGAGTTGAACCCTGTATGCCAAGGGTAGTTCAGAGGCAAAGACATAGAGTTAATGCACCTGCTTCCTCTCCTGAGGCATACTATAGAACTAATCTAACCACAGCTTTCTTGGATCATTGCACTCGGCACATTGACAGGCGTTTCCAAGAGGAAGTGTATAGCTGTTATAAAGGCCTGTACATAACCCCATTTGTTATGCTCGATAATGTAGCCACATGGAAAGGCAATGCARGAGAATTCTGTGCCTACTATAGGCAAGATATTCCAAATGTTGGTGGTCTTGAGGCTGAGCTGGTCATGTGGGAAAGTCTGTGGACAGTTCAGCACAACAGAGGACAATATATCCCAGACAGAGTGTCTCAGGCCTTGGCAGCTGTTGACAAACAAGCATTTTGTAATGTTTTTACAATTTTGCAGCTTCTTGCCACTGTTTCAGCTACTTGTGAACGATCTATAACAACTCTGAGATACTTGAAAACATATATTCGAAATAACATGGCACAAGATAGCTTGAACGGCCTTGCCCTAATGTATGTCCACCGGGAGAAGCATATCGACCTTGACCAAGTGATTGATCTGTTTGCACAAGTGCACCCAAGACGAATGAGAATGGCTGATATTTTGCAAGACAAATAATAAGTAAGAATTGTCTTATATTGCTATTAGTAAGTCGGCTGCGTTTGAATAATTGAATCTATTGTTTTCTGTGTCTAGTGTTTTCTGTCCTTCTCTCCGGCTAACTAAATACATCAGAAATCACATATATTGTAATTTATATCAATGTGTTTTAATTTAACATGTATTCACAGTCATTATTAGCTACTTCCATTATACACAAGAAGTAAAAATTACATTATTGAAGATTTGGAATAGGTGGATTTGAGAATTGGCAATGGTCATGAAAAATCCTAGATCCACCCCTGGAACGTAACTTAGCTTTCACGTTAGATGATATTGAAATTACCTCTGATCATATGGTTATTCATGTGTAAAAACGCAAAAACGACCAGTATAGGCAGGGTCATTTTTCCTTGTTGGTAACAACCCGTAATCTGACTTGCCCTGTTGCGGCTACTGAGAAATTATTAGCTAAGTTACCGTATGGGTCACCTCCTAAAGCTCCCCTCGTAAGGCGCATCGTCAAGTGCAAGTCCTACGAGTATTTTCACTCTAGTAAGGTGACATCTTACTCTACAGTAAGAGATGAATTTAAAGTGCCCCTTGGACGAAAATTGCTATCTTTTCGTACAAACTTGAAACTTCGTCCAAATAATCCATACTACCCCATTAATCACCTGTAGAAATTTTTTCTTCRTATTCCGACGGGAAGTTTGAAAATTTTGCGTTTTTACTACCGGCCGCCATTAATTTTCTTCATCAATGATTTGGCTTAGAAGACTGGGGATGAGTGAGGGCTATGACGTCATTTACTCTACTCATTCCAAAACACTCGTGGCTAGTCATTATACAAACTCTGTCAAACTTTCGTGTTATAGTTACAAATAATTTATAGAGAGCTCACGGCGAGTAGAATGCCAGCAAATCGCTGTGTGGTTTTTGGTTGTAATAATTTCGCCAACAAATCGAATGGTATATCGTTGCATTATTCGCCGAAAAACAAGCAAGACGGCGACAAATGGAAAAGGTTTGTGCGTCTTCACMGGGCGAACTTCAACCCGCCAGGAAGATTCGTTGTGTGCTCCCTACACTTTGAAGAAAAGGTTTTCGCAAGGGCACTACATATCGAGGGAATGCAAAGACGTTTGCTTCCTAGAGCAACTCCAACGATCTGGCTTCCAGAGCAGCAACAAGAAACTTCTGTCAGTGACAGAAGCCGCCGCCACGTGAGTATAACTAAAACTTTGTTTTTCTTCTTTGCGTTATCAATTATCCGTAAATGAAACAATTTTTTGACATGTCACAAAAGTAAAAAAAAGTATCTGCTTATTCGTAAAACCAATCAAAGCGTTACATGTGAACGACGGCCTTTACAAGAAAACTTGTTTCTAGACAAACATGTCGCGCGGCTGCTTCAAAAATTCACTAGTGCGGCATATCAAAGCAACAATTATTCGTCGGCGTTTTTATTTTGATTGTGGAACAATTGCTTCAATGAATTGGCCTCGTTGAAAATGGAAGTATTTTTTGAATGTCTTTTTCAGGCTCTCAAAAACATCCTTCAGCCTGCTAAAAATGTTGAAGAAGAAGCTGAACAAATGGCTGCTAATAGTCACCTAGAAGTAGACGAAGTTGAAGACTGAAATGACCAGGAGTCGCCCCAAAATGAACAACAACGAAACCTCGGGAACTTCTGGTCCCAAGCACAACAAGCAAGTCCACATCGTGTGAGGAATGTGTGTACTTACAAACAGAAGTCTTGCAACTTAAAGCAGACTTAAAATCCATGAAGACACAGGTGAAAAAGTTGGAGAGAACAGAAAGTCAGCTGCTTGCTGCTCTTGAACAAGCAACTAAAAAGTCTACAGTGTTTTCACAAGGTATGCTAGAGGTTATTGTCATAAAAAAATATTAATAAATATTACATAATAATGATGATATAATGACAACGATGAAAGTATTTCAAAGAAATATAAATTTATTTATCTTTTTTGCACAACATTTTAAAAATAGGATGTCAGACTGATAATTACAATCATGAACCTGAATCTGATGATGAAGAAATGGACATTGAGGAGGAGGATATCTGTGACCCTGAGTGGCAGGAAAAAGTACAGAGGGAAGTTGACAAAGTCTTCAACCAAGACAATGAAGTGGCCATGGAGGAGGAACCTGTCATCGCCAATGATGGCAAGTACAATGAGCTGGSTGAAGACAATCCAGAATATAGTAACCCCGAGAGTGATAATCTTGACCCCAGGTAACTACAAGCACAAACTGCGCTAAGCAAGGTTGATACACCACATCATTCATAATAATATAATATATAAAATGTATTAACTTTCATCAATCATACTCGAGTGCTTGCACTGATCCTGTGAATTTCACTTGTTGCTGAATGTTTTATGCAAGCACTCAAAGCAAAACTCTATGGTAGCCCCAGAATGATTTCGGGGGGGAGGGGGCAGGGCTTTTACCTTGAAAAGGCATCACAGTGTATATATATATATTTTTTTTTTTTTCTTTTCCCCACTTCAGATTGACCACAGAAGGAAAAGATTGTAGAGAGCAACTAAAGTGTATTGTGTTTCTATCTAACCTGCTCTTGTTATTTCAATTTTGCCACCTGTGTTGTCACCCCAAGCCATCAATTTCCACGAAACAGACTGGGACAATGATAACTGTCACTACACTTTGCAGTAAATGCAAAAAGACCAGCACTTGGCTTAGTCAGCCCTTAATATTAGGAAAATTCCCAGCCGTAAACATTCTATTAAGTTTTGGCATTTTGACAGCTGGGGCCTCCATCAGGAAAGTGCTACTGGTGCTGAGGCACATCAACGTAATGGTCTATAATGAAACGACCTACTATTATCATCAGAGACATTTSTTAATACCAGCAATTGTCTCATTCTGGCGGCAGTACCAACAAGGTCTAATAGACAAATTAAATGGGGTAGAAGTGGATTTGGCAGGAGATGTCCGCCATGATAGCTCGGGACACTCGGCGAAATATGGCACTTATACTATCTTCTGTTGTACGTTGGGCCTCATYATCAACATAGTTCTCATTCAGGTGAATTTTGATCACATTTATRATTTGTAACTACAGGGACAGATTGGGGGGAGGGGATATAGCTTATATTTTTTTTACTAAGTTCCACTTATTCTAATTCTTATCGTTGTTAATATTATTACTATAACATTGTTATTATTGTTAGTACAGCTAACTGTAATAACAACAATAGTAAAAATATAATAACAATATTAAAGGGAATATTTGTTTTCTGTTAGTGGCCATTTATTATTAGACTCATGATTTTATTCTTACAGGCAAATGAAG